AACTCAACGCAACTTACAGGCACGTGCACACCACTACACTTAGACTGCCATACTACCAGCTGCTCCACCTCAGCTGATTAAGTAGCTCCTGGTACCAATCAACCCTATGACATCCTTGATGACATCAGAGAGCGTATGAAATGAGGAAGTGATTAACCTAGTAAATACAAACATTTAACACACAGGTTAAGGCATTAGGAAACATACAGGACTTAGCCTAGGGACAAGTGGAGTGTTCTCACCCACTTTGTCACAGAGGTGAACAAACATGACTTTACAAGTCTTCCAGTCAACTCTGATCAGGAGAAGAAAACCTCATTCAAAAGATCTGCAGCAGTACAGCATGGTCAGATAATGCTGGGTTCCCCTGGTACCAATGCTGCAACAGAATCTATTCCCCTCTGCTGAAGGCAGAACGTTAGTACCAGCCCAGGGCAGCGCCTGCCCTGAACACATAAACCAACAATGTCTGCTCCTACAAACGTCTTTTAGCCAGTAACGACTGTAATTAATTTACACTCAGAATCAGGCAAAGAACTTCCACAGATTTACAAATTAACTTCTTTAAAGAAAAAGCTGTGCACTCCTCCAGTTTTTGTTCTTTCATCAGACAGTGAACTGAACACGGTGACCACTTTTCTATTTGTTAAATAAAGAATCACTTCTGAATCAAGAAAATTGCATTAAATACTGTGTTTCCCAGTAACTGCCACCCACACAGAATTTACTAACTCAAAACATCAGCTGTCGTGTTAAGTTACTCATCACAACAATAGCAACAGCTCATTTGTGGATACTAGTGTGATTTCTGATCAAAATGTGAATAGAGTTTGAACAGAAAATGACAGAGTTAGAACAACACATCAATGCATATTTTATGACTTACCTTCCTGGTCCTCGCTGCTGTCCTTGGTTGCGGGTGCCTCTTCTTGGATGCCAAGGCCAAACAGATCAGCATCATCCTTGTGCTTGAAGGAGATCACAGTGGGCTTCAGAGGTTCTGGCACCTTGGCTAACTGCACGTCATCGTCAGAGAGGTCAGACAGAAGCTCGTCCCTGACTGGGAATATATCCTGGGAAGAACAAATGGGAAGGCCAAAAAAAAAAAAACTATTACAAGATGAAACGTTGAGATTAAAAATAAAAAGGCTTCTGACACGGCAGTGTGACAGGTGTACAATTAAAAGCTCTTTAGTAATATTAGTCCATATGTTATTATTGTGTCAGAATCATCATGCCGTGGATTTGACTAAATGAATGATTCAAACAAAGCATATGTTAAAAGCTCAGGCCCTCCCAGTAAATCTACTGTTCTTGAAGATCTACTTTACCTTTGCCGTTTTTGGTGTGTCTGATGCTTCAGACTCAAAGTCAGGGTCATCCATGACAAAAGAGAGCATCTGCTGGGCTACAGGGGCCTCGGGGTCAGTATCAGAGTCCTCGGCTGTGGGTGCATTTCCCTTCTTCTTGCCTTGGTGTCTGGTCAGCTGCTCTGCTGCTGGAGATAAAGTGAGGGAGATGGGCACTGTGGTCTGGCCTCTGGGCTCCGGAGCTTTAGATGCCACCTTTGGTTTTGTGATGTGGATCACAGGTCTAGAACAGGGTGACAAAAAATTAATCATTAAAATATATTACTATCGTATTACTTAACTACATAACTCTAAAAAGTAATGAATGGATTTGGATGACATTTTTTTGGAGAGGCAGGGTATGGCCCATGGAACAACTGGTTCGATTTTGGTGCTGATCTGTATAATGATTTGGCTATAGCAATAAAAAAAAAAAAGCACAGGTGCTACTGAGGGATGTGTGATCTCCCAGCTGCTTTTCCCCCTCTTCACCAACAACTGCACCTCAGGGGATCCCTCTCCTGAAGTTCGCAGACGACACAGCGGTCATCAGTCTCAAAGATGGCGACAGGTCTGCATACAGATAAGAAGTTGAACAAGTTCCTGGGCTCCACTGTCTCTCAGGACCTGAAGTGGACGTCCAACATCAGGACCATCATCAAGAAGGCACAGCAGAGGATGTACTTCCTGCCCCAGCTCAGGAAGTTCGACCTGCCCCAGGAGCTGCTGATACAGTTCTACAGAGGAATCATCGAGTCTGTTCTCTGCTCATTCATCACTGTCTGGTTTGGCTCAGCAACCAAACAGGACAAGTACAGACTTCAGTGGACAGTCAGGACTGCAGAAAAGGTCATTGGTGTGAGCCTGCCCTCCATGGAGGACCTGTACACCGCCCAGGTGAAAAGGAGGGTGGAGAGGATCACTGCTGACCCCTCACATCCTAGACACAAAATGCTGCTTTCACCTGGTCATAGATACAACCTGCCATCTTGTAGAAATAAGCGCCATAAAAACTTAAATGGCAATAGTTAAAAGGTAAAGTAATCCCACCAGGGTCATGTAGTAGAAAAAAAAAAACTATTTACAGTTGGTGAGTATCTGTGAGAACATAACTAAAGCAAGTACAGTTGCCTGGGAAACCGTGCACACAATTTCACACAAACTGAAAAAACGTTCATGTTATGCCGAGTTCTGCGTGCCTCAAGCTGCATCTCCATCGTGGGAACACACACAACTAAAGCAAGAAGTACCAGACACTGTAATGATTTGTAAAGTATTGTAAAAACAATATAAGCTCCTTTGCTGTATTCATCAGTCATGGTAAATAATCTGAAGTTTAAAGTATATGCTGATTTTGTGTCATAAGTATTTTAGTAGCTGTTAATTTCCTTCCTGAAGTTTCTGAATTCCTGTCTGATCTCTGCTTCAACTTCTTGTTTAAAAACCACAAGCTTGTTCTTCATTTCTGGTTTGAGTTAGCATGTTTCTCTGGTAATGTCAGTCAAACACCTGTGCAATGCCTCTGCAAGGGAAACATTGATGCTTCCTTCCTTAGTGAGCTCTCTTTTTTCTCCTGTAATTCAAGGTCATTTGGTTTCACAGTTTTTCTCTCTCATATTCAACTTAGTCATGAATTTGGTTTGTTTAGGGGTACTCTGGCCTTTACTGGTAGGGGCATAATAAATTATTTATGAGAAGAATGAATTGTAAAGAAATAGCAAATCAATATCAGAGCTTACGCTTACATCAGGTCCTATGAACTGCTCAGTTCTGTGGGATTAAAGCCAGGCAGTGCTGAGAAAAGACTTACGCTTTAAGCTCCGGTTCACTGTCGAAGTCTTGGTCCTGTGCGATAGTGGGGATTGCTGGTACTTCCTCCTCCTCATCACTGGTCAGAGCGATATCTTTATTGTGGGGCAAAGTCTTAGGTTGAGGAAGGCCAGGCTCATTGTCATCAGGATCAAGCTCATCCTGGAAACCAGACACCATGGGGTTTCCTCTGGCTTCACCATCACTGGGACGAAGCAAGAACCAAAAACTTCCTTTTTACCTTCACACTGTGAGAGGTAGGACTGTCACCCCCCCCCAAAAAAACTACATTCGAATGATGTTTGAACTGACACAAAATCTGTTTGAATTAATTCAAATGCAACCCCTCTCCCTCCAATTACTGCACAATGGAACTGAAACAAGAACCTCCATGAAATCAAATGTACAAATGCACAAAAGTGTGATATAGTGTATTAGGGCTGGACCCAATTACTCGACTATTCTAATATTCATCACAACGAGCCATTCAGATGAAATAGCCGGCTGTGAGATGGCTGCGTAGGGACCATCTACAAAGTGCAACACTGAAAGGAGGCATCAAAAAATATTCAGTAGCTTTGCTCTTAAACACATTTTTCCAGACCAAGTGTTGTGGTGTAACCAACAGAAGACCAGCGTGACAAGACAAGTAATTATGGTGACACCCTAAGAGTGAATCATTTTTGAACTGTTTTCAGCATAAAACTATGTAGACTAACCCTGCACCCTCATCCTGTTCAGTGTCATGAGTATATATGAATGAAGCCCTGATGAATATAATGTAAAAGTGCCCTATGCGTGAATGAGAGAAAGCCATTGCTTGAACAGACCGATGAAGCAGCAATGTCTGAAAAGGGCTGTAGTTTATAAACATGCTGCAGTGTGATCTCGACAGAGAACAAAGACAAATGTTCAAACTCCACAACCCCCCTGGATATTCACCGATTATTACTACTGAAGCGCCGAAGCCCAGAAATTGCCATTCAGAAGAGCCCTATACTGTATGTAGCCCAAACTGTATATCGTGGCATATGTTCAAAAAAGTAGATGTTTTAAGTAAAAACATTTGATTTAAAAATATATACAACAAATAATGTCTTGCTTCCCATATACACTAAAACTAATTTCAAGGTTCTTTAAAAAAGTTAAATGGACAATAAATATTTCCTCCACACGATTATCAGACGACTCAGAAATCCTCACAAACATTTCACCTGTCGCTGTCTGCAGCTGGAGGCACCTTGGTCTTCGAGGGCAGGCTGTCTTCCAAGAAATTCTTGTCCAGTCTCTCATCTGGCACAAAATCATCCACACTCTGAACCTTAGCTGGATACACTGGTGCAGGAGGGTCCTCTGAGGAAAGAAGAGCCAAATACGTGTGAGTAATGATCAAATAGCTTAATTCAAATCTACTACACTGCTTGAAAAAAAAAATTAAGGGGCTCATCCATTACTATTGTACACTGTATTATTAGTTCAGAACAAAATGACAATGTTCAATGGAAACCAAACTCATCGACCCCTGGAGAGCTGGATTCAAAACTATACTGAAAACCAAAGTGAAAAATTTAAATCACAGGCTCATCCAAGTTGCATGAATTTGATCACAGCAATTCATAATGTCACAAAGTTTTGATCACTGAGGTTGGCATCATTTGCTAGAATCCCTTTGTTATTTCTACTTCTATAAGCGACTACAAAAACCTGAATCATTCTGATCTCCTCTAGAAAAACAACTGCTGACCTCAAAGTACCTATAAAAATCTAGTCAGCTCAGATGACTGGCATATATTCTAAAAGATGTCAGGTTCCTAGTTAAATACAATTCTACAGAGGGTGGTAATGCTGCTTTGTATTGCTGATATTCATGATTGTGCAATGCTGGCATAAAGCATGGATTAAACTGTGCAACTCAGAACTTTCACCTCTCTGTAAAGCTAAAACCATATGACCACCTCTAGCCATATTTTAATAGAAAAGCTAACCCACTGACTATGATTGGAATATGTCTTTCATCCTATTGAGAGAACCCAGCGGTGACTGTATACATGTGTCTGTTCAGAAAGGTTCTGTATCTTTCTACTTGGCTTCACAGGGCAAGTTACACCAGACTACTACTGATCTTAACGGAGCAAATGGACAATAAATAACTGGCTTATATGCTTTACAGTCCATCTTATGCTTACCTTCTCTGACCATCATGCAAACAAAGGCCTCTCTCCAACACAGGGCAGAGCCTTGTGCATCATGCTGTGATTAAAACAGACTGAGTAATGACAGCAGTGGCCACCCTCATCGATTTACCATTCTGGTGGACATCTATTGGTATCTGGAGAGATTTTCCTGCATTAAGGGCTGAAATTACTTTTGTTTATTTGTCTAATTCAGATTTCTTAAATAAGGTAGTTGTTATCCTCTTTGCCAAAAGAAATTTTACAAAATGTTCCATTAACTTTTTCTGGTTGAGTATATAGAGATCTGTGATAAGTTTTAAATGATTGCTGGATTCTTTCTAAGTTAATTCTTTTATTTGTTATGGGGTCTCTAATTGTTTATTTTCTGCTTGCAGAGCTTCCAGGTTCATATTTTCTGATGCTTCAGAAATCTCTTTCTCAATCTCTTTGCTATGAATATTATCAATTACCTGTTTAAAGGATCTCATTTCTAAAAGGGCAGGTGGGTCTTTATTAGAGCTGTATGTGTTAGACATTCTTCAGTGTACAGATCAAGCAGTTTTTTTTTTTTGTTTAGCCTTTAACCATTTTATGAGAGCAGTCTGAGCTATGATTTTTCCTATAAAGGAAAAACTTTGGCTGCATTGCACAATATTAGCAGGAAAGGCTTCTCGATTATCCTTGTGCTCTAGATAGAACTTCATCTCCTCTGCGCTCTCCAGCCATAAATGTGCACTGTTCAACATACCTTCACTGTTTTTTTTTTGTTTGTTTTGGGGCACAAATTAGGTGTAGCTCTAAGTATAGCCCAGAGAGGTCTGAGAGCTTTGACCAATACTATAATCCCTAATTCTGTGCCGATCATTACTGAACATGAAGAAATAGTCAGTTCTTTAAAGGATATTATGATGAGCAGAGTAAAAAGTGAGATCGAGGTATCACTATAAATCAATCAGACCCAATGACTGCAGCATACAACTCCATGTTAGTATAGTGCTGAGTCTTGTGATTGTTATGGCTTCCCCCTCCTCTCATGTCTGACCTTTTTTTTTTTTAAAGGATGCCAATTAGTGTAGATGCCTGGCTGGGACTGCTTCCTCAGTTACTGTATCTGTTCCTTGGCCCACCTCCCCCCTCTACTGATTGGACCAGAATTTCAGCCCTGTGCTGCATTGGATCTCACCTGCTTTAAAAGCACAGCTTCTCTCCCATTCAGGGAACCTATGATTTGATGTAAGCAGCTCGTCACTGTGTCTCTTGGTTTACTGTATGCCTTTTTGTTTCCATCTCTCCTGTTTACGTACTCACTGCCAGTGATTACTTGTTGTGGTTTTTTTTTGTATTCACTTCTCAGTGATTACTCGCTGTCCAGTGTACTGAGATTTGTTATTTCAGTTATTTGTAAACACACCCCAATCATTTTAATAAATAACTTTGCTAACCTCCAATATTAGGTGTTTTTCCTTTTCCTTAGCGAGCTGGGATGTAACACTATTTAATGTGAACTTGGCAAGTTTCAGTTCTTGTCGAAAAAGCTGATGTGAAACCTGTTAATGACTGCCAGCCACTGTAACTGGCAAGAAAGCCACATCCAACTGTTTTAAATAGCAAATTAAAATCTTAATATTGTTCCCTGAATCAAACACCTAGAGACCAATAACTTCACAGCTGTGATCTTCCTAAATGGCAGAGTTACACAGAATCACATAGGAGTGAATAATAGGGCAAAATCAAATAAATAAATACGACCATCACTCGTTTCACAGAATTATCTCAACGGCAATACTGTAGTTTGCCACATTTACAAAAGTAAATGTCCATCCCACTGCTTCAGAAACACTTAGCTTTTTTTTTTTTTTGCCAATTGCAATTTAGCAAATTGCCAGACCATTCTTAAAGATTTGTCCAAAATTAAATTGAACATAAATTGCATTTGCAAGTTTCTTTCATGGCTCTGGGAAAAAAGCATTTGCTCCAGCTTTTAACTTGGCTGTGGAGGTCGGAGTTCATACACAGCAATATGAATCCCTTTCAATTGAAAAATCTTCTTACTGTTTGCTGTACTAAAGACGAATTAACAGCTTATGTCAATATTTTGAGTAGCAGCAAAGGTTTCCTCAGTTTCTGCTGGTTGGCTGGTCAACACAAGCAGTGAGCTTGAATAGAGAAGACTCACCTGTTGCAGAAATAGGAGAGTCAGTAGCAGCTGATGAACCAAACCAGCGGGAAATGAAGCTGCGTTTCTGGGGGGCCGACATTCCAGATGCAGCTGACGACTGAAGGTGTTCAGGAGACTGGGCTGATGGCTTTGACTCAGCAGTAGGTGAAGCTACCAAGCTAACTGCTGAAATGGGAGGCGGAGGGGAGGGCACAGACACAGATGGTGAATGTGGGAGCACCTGGGAAGCGATGGGGGGCTGAGGGGTGCTGGGGCTGGAGCTCCCCGTGGAGGCCCCACTGGGAGGGACAATGGGAGACTGTGAGCCCGACGAAGGACTCTGACCGTTGGCTGGACCAGGAGAGCCATAGCCTTTACAGCGAGACTCCAAGTTCTCCAGGAAACTGCGGAAATCACAACAGCACTGGTTAATAAACTGTGATTCACTTACAACATTTGAGGTTGGGAACACAGTGGAGGACTGTAGAGTCCAAATGCCACTCTTGATTCAGCAAAAGTCACCGTGAATATTTGTAAACAATGTTTTAACATCGTCCGTCAGTCAAAAAGTGTGTATCTGATACATTATGGGATACAAAGAAATGTAGAACATGTGGGAAAACAAATTCAAACTTTTCAAGAGGAACTCACTATAAGAAACTTGCAATCAAGTGCAATGGAGGTTGTCTTTGTTCATTAAATTATTTTGGACTGAGCACTTATGGCAAAAAACAGATACAGTACATCTCATAGTTTTGATCTTCAGTCTCCTGCTGGACAGAGAGCTCCTCCAAGGTGGCATCCATATCCAACTGGTTGGTCTCCAGCTGCCTCAGAAGGGTCTCTCTCTGTGTGCGCGCGCACACACACACACACACACACACACACACACACACACGAGTAACTGGTCACAGGGCTTCATATTCACATTGTATCCCAAGCAGGTCAGACAAGACCCAACATAATTTTTCCCCCCAATTTAAATAATCTTGCAGTCATAATTACAAAAGAGCTTCAACTATCCTTGTAAATCAGGCAGCCTAGAACAACTAGATAAAAATGACAACTGGAAAAACAAAAACCTGGAGCTGCAGGAAGGGGATGTTGAAAAATCTGTGCAGATATTTCAAGCCAAACCCATTCTTCATGGAGGACTCTGCATAGTGGATGTAAGATGATCCCATTGGCCTGTGAAACACAATTATTACCAATTAACACAAAAATAAGAGATTACTTTCTTTTGACAATTTCTAACATTTGTGGTGTATATGCTGCATAAGTGTGCTTGTAATGGCATGAATGAATTTTGTGGCCACTTGGGGAAATACTCTTTAGCTGCTAAATGCTCCACTGTGATCACCAGCTAGTCACTAACTTTCTGTGCTGGGCAGATACAGTAGGTTTATAAGAAAATTTTCTCTAGGAAAAGTTGCCGCAACTATAAAGATTAATGACAGCAGAAAACCAGAAAAGTAAAACAATGAGCTTAAAGAAGAGTTCAGTCACAGTATATTTCAGAACTACACAGATGAGCCAAAAACATTATGACCAGCACTGGTCATTCTGACCAGTCTGTGCCTACACAGCCCCATACACAGCTACTAGGTGCAATGCTCTGTCTGATGTGACACATTCCTACCATAGTCTGTTTTAATCAACTTTTCAGTGATTTAAACCACAATAACCCTTCTGTTGGTTTGGACCAGATGGGATAGCTATTGTTGTTCTTGCACATCAATGCACTCAGGTCTTCACACTTTATCTGTTGTTATGTACTGGCTCACTAGAGTCTATCTGGGTATATGTATACTTGAGTGATAATTCTTTGTGGGTTTGTCACGACAAGCAGCGCCATAAACCTTTACACACAATAATGTTATCCACTGGTTGACTACAGTATCGACTGATGCAGCTTTAACATTATTTTTGGAAAACGTCAACATGTCACAGCTGCTTAACTATATTAAAAGGACTCGAACACAGTCAGAGCCCACTCTATTACAACATTGATAACTTTTTAGTTAGTACAACAGTAACAGGTGCTTAAAAGGTCTGAGAGTGGACATTTGTGAGGTCAGGCAGCAAGTAGTTTCCAGTCTTTTGCAGAGCCAGATGAAATCTGTTTTATTTTTCTGCTAACACGAAGAAACAAATGATTACAATAAAGGATCTGGAAAATATTATTGATTTGTTGTACAAATAAGAGACAAACAGGATCATGTTACTGAGCAGAAATAATTACAAACTGTCTCAACAACAGTCACAGAACGTGAACTGTATTTTTTGTACGAGCATAAGCTTATTTTATCTAGAGCTGGATAAACATGTTTCCTTTTCTGTAATATCAAAAAGGTTTCTCTGAGTCTGATTCAAATTATTTTCATTTCTTCTGTTTCTCTAAAGGTTTTTTCTTACAGATGTCATCACAGGGTAAGGAAATCCTGTCGTTTGGTGATGCAGCAAAAAGGAAAATTATGAGGGTGTGGTAGAACTGTCAAGTAGAACTCAAAGGTAACTCTGTAGCTCTAACTCTACTTCAAATGATTCCTTTCAGATTCATAGTTGAATCAGAATCAAATCATTCATCTAGAAATCAGACTACTGCTGTACCAGAGGCCTATACCATGAAGCGAGTTCAACTTAGTCTGGCTCTCTTGGTGTTATCTGATTTCACCAAGCCTAACATTGGTCACACTGGATATCTAGTAACATGAAGCTGTTTATCAACTGGCTCTGATAAGTCTGGGTTCTCTTATCAGTCTATGAGCATGTTCATGTGAAAGAGGTGGAGCTTTTAATTAGAAGCAACATCACCAGCACCATGAATGAAGTACTGAATATAATATGAGATGGAGCAGTAATACCTGTGGGGAAAATCGTTTAGAGCCAGAGCAAAAGTTATGTTACGGCGGGTGAACTGTGAACAATAAACTATGGTCACATACAGTAACTACAGTAAAAAAAAGGAGCTACTGAAACACTAGAAGTAACTTTAAAATATTAAGGAAAGACAACAATAACTATACCATACATTAGTATAGTATTATTATAAGGGTCTTATTCAATGAGTTTTTATTTGTCTCATGATGAAGAAATTATTGTGAAAGTGAAAAAAACCCAATGGTTTCTGATGCCAGAGCTGAGGAGAGGACAGTGGAGAAGAGTTACACCTAAAGTCACATGTTCATTTATAATCATGGGAAATGTATAACAGCATATGAATTATTTTTATAAAAGCCCATCATCAGTCTCCTCGTGTTATTCAGAGCTACAGAGATGGAGCCTGTAAAAACACAGATACAGTCAGGAATAAAATAATCTTTGTGCATTTAAAACCATCATGGAGGCTGTACACTCCCTCAGTTTGTTAGAAACACTACTTTAAACTAGTGTGACCCATGAAAGCCTGAAACAGCACGACGATATGACTGCTCTATAGAATATCTATTTAACAGCCTACTTATCACATTAATGTAGAATCTGTCCCACTAAGTTTTTCCAGTGATTTGATTGGCCAGCGGTCAGGCCGTTGACAGGTGTGGATCCGATCCTTTGAAGTTAAGCTGGTCCACAGCAGGTTAGTTGTGCAGCATAAGTTATTGTAGTGATCAAGCCCAATTATAAGTGAGCCAGCTTTGTGGTACCAGAACACCTGAGCTAAGCCTAACATCAGCTGGATAAGCCATTAATCTTGTGGTACAGGCCCCAGGTCTGAGATCTGACTTACTAATACAACTTCACACCTTCACCCTCTCAGTGAGAGGGTTTGTTTCCATCCCTAAGATCTGACCATTTATCTGAGTGCTGCTCTTTACCTGTTCAGTCCAGCAATCAGGTCCCTAATATCATCAGGGAGGATGACGCGATGCTCGCCCATGTCCCTGTAGTTTCCCAACACACACACTGGCACATGGGTAGGTACTTTGGGCAGTTCCCTCAGGATGTAGTTAAATGTCCTGAAATTGACATATTCACACTGATTTGTGGGTGGGTGAATAAAACGTAGATGTTTGGGCTAATTAAAATGAATCAGCAAAGGTTGAAATGGAGGAATGGTCTGCTTGAAATATTTTGCTTATTTAGTTGTGCATATTGAGTTCAGTGACAGTATATTTCAGAAGTTGTTTGGCCCAGATATTTAATAATAGAAAATGATGGGTTAATCTCTTGTTGCAGATGATGAATACTGTGACCTTACATTAGTACGTGTGACTGCAGAGCATCTTCAACATTGAGGCAATTTTTTTTTATTATGTTTATGTGTGATGCTGTAGTTTTCTTGATGTCAACAAATCCCACAAAAAGACCAAAACTAATAATGTGTTAAGTCAAACAGGTGGAAGCAGGGCATTTGATGGAGACACTTTTCAGACTCTGGATACAAACAGTACTTGTTACTCAGATT